TGTTTCCATAGTTGATATGGCAATGAATTAACAAATAATATAATTGAATTAAGGTATTTTTATTAAGAACGTTTCTTATTTTGTATAATATGCCTATACTCTTTGAAATTTTACTGCACAAGTTAGCAATGTGGCATTTCTATGTAAGATTTTCATCGATATATACACTTAAAAATCTTGTCACTAAAACTCTGTTAATAATTATTTTATCGATAAATAGAAAAGGTAAGTTGCTATGCAGCTGGTGCTTTTTATCATAAGGATGAAAAAGAATCTTTTTAGTTTTATCAATATTTAGTGAAAGTTTGTTTAATCTAAACGATTCCAAAATTTTGACCAGTTCAATGTTCATATTGCTAAAAAGTGTAATAATGTTATTATGAGAAAAAAATAGGTTAGAATCATCAGCAAACTTAATTTTCATTAGGTTAGAAGCTTTTGGTAGATCATTAATATATATTAAAAATAGGAGAGGTCCTAATATGGATCCTTGAGACACTCCACACGAAATATATAACAAATTAGATGATACGTTATCATCCGCATAAACAAATTGTTTTCGATTATTTAGGTAATTTTTTAGCCAAATTAATATTTTTCCAGTAATTCCGTACCACTCCAACTTTTTAAAAAGAATCTCGTGATCTATAGTATCAAAAGCTTTCGCCAAATCAATGAAAACACCTAAAGTAAATTGAGAATTTTCAAATGAGTCAGATATATTATATATTTCAAAAACAAATAACATTTACATTTCTCCAGTTTATATAAATATCCCACACAAATATTTACAATATATAAAGAGCATTAACAAGGTACAATATATAAAGAGCGTTAACTGTTTTACGCATGCGCATTTGGCATCGAGTTTAAATAATAAACTTAAAAACTCGTAGTTTATAATATAAAGTGCTGGCTATTAACCGTTGCATTCAAAAAATATATGCAAGTCCGTCGCACCACAGGACTACTAGGGACTTGCTTGTCGTTGTCGTTGAAACTATATATTAATATATATTAATAGTACTATGTAGTTGTAAGGAAACTCGCAAAAGACTAAGAAAAATCTTTTCATCGAGAACCTTTAAAATACAAAATAAACTAAAAGTTTAAAGAGTAAATCTATAAAACACACATTAACTTTTTGAAGTCATTTGTTCAGTAATATTTTACTATGTATAGTTGCAAACTATATGTATTTATTATATACATTTTTTAATTTAGTTTTTATTTTATTTTTAATTTTAAATTTTTATTTTTATAGTTTAAAATGTTCTTTTTACATTTTATTATGTAAATTGTTCTTTTATATTTAATACATATCGATAAAATTGGTTTTGTTAATTATGAGATCTTTTAGTTTTTTCTTCAGGGTGATAAGATTTTCCAGTTTAGTAAGTTCTATATTTTGAGGAATATTTTGTTGTATAAATAGTTGCCACGGTATACAATTTTTATTTATTTTATTTATTTTTTCTTTTCATCACCCAAAATTACAGGTAAAAAATACAGAGGTCATAAAACTAATAGTTTATACTCTAAGTTAAAATTCTAATTTAGATTCTTCTTAGAATGCTTTCTTCCATTAAATTTTTGAATATCATTCTCTGCTCTCTAATGTTCGAGAATTCAAAGGACTGGTTTAAAATTTCTGCTATATTATTTTCTACGTCATCGTTACGACGTTTGATAATGATTTTTTCCCCCTTAATCAAGCACTGCATGAAGCTTAGTTCCAGGCGGTTGCAAATTTTCATTATTTTCAAATTTTAAATCTCGAAAAAAAATTTTTTTTTATGGGCAACGTAAAGTTTCCGGTTCCTCGTGTGATAAATCTGTTGGCGTTAGTTTGAAAAAAGTTATGAGTAAAATGAGTTAGGACGAGTCCGAGCTTATATTTGAGCATAAATAAAATATTTTGGTAGATGTTAATTTGATAAATATTTAAAGCATTCAAGTTTTTAAGTAAAGGAATAGCATGAGTGAACTTATTTTTATTATAAATTAATCTTGATGCGTGTTTTTGGTGTATATATAGAGAACTTAATTTAGATTTATTTGTACTTGCCCAGGCAATATTAGCATATGTTAGGTAATATATAAATACTTTGTAAAATTAAGTAAATTTAAAACTTACCTGTAGAAAAAGACTTTATTAGTTTAACTATGCGGTAGTGGTGTAGTGGTAGAGCGCTCGCTTCATAAACGAGTGGTTCCGGGTTCGATCCCCACCACGTCCCTGGTAGTACCGCGCTCAAATCGTTTCTCCGCGCAGCGGCCTTGTTCGTCAAGGTTCGTGTTTCGGAGTTATAGAGTTGAGAGAGGATTATAGCCACAAAATAAGTAGCCTCCTCGTCTGTAGTGGCCTTCTCGGCCTTGAGGAGGTGAATTAAAATAAAAAAAACAAAAAACAACTGGATGGTAAGAAGAAAAGTTATCTAACATAAATTTTTCCGAATCTGGCAAAAGCTTCCGTATTTTGTTGCATTTCTACCATCCAGTTCACCTCCATTATACCCATGCCAAATACTTCCATATTTTTTTAACCAGAGGTTCCTTACAGAAGACATTTGAAATTTCTATTATAATCTTTATCATTAAATGAAGTTCTGGAGGATGGATGACATCAAGCATATCATCCATCCATACATCTCTCCAGACTCAACCAGGAGACATGGATGTATAACATTCTTATAGTGTTGCATAGGGCTTTTTTTAAATCCACTTTCAGCAAAGTTTTTATACATGTTCTTAAGCATATTAAAGGTTCTCAGTTCTCCAAGATTAGTTTTATCACTTTCACAAAAAAAACATGAACATTTTCCCCCATGTCCTGACAAACCCAAAACTATGTTGCATAATTTAAGATCTGCAGCAAGGTAAAACTTTAAATTGTTTAGCTTGTTTTTTTTATAAGAATTTGTGCGGCTTTCGCAAACATTTTTGGCAAAAGCCAGTATTATAACTTTGTTTGAAGTCATAAGTTTCTTTGAAGTCATAATTTACTTTTCTGTTAAAAACATTCATAATAACTTTTAAAGATCCTTGGCCACTATCTATTCCTATACGAATAATAAAGTTCTCGATTTCTATTCCACTAGCAATGATTAACTAGAGATACTGGATCTTTGACATACACTAGATCTTTAATGACAGTTTCAATAGTTATATTTTCTTTGACTTTAGTTTTGGATAAAAATTCCACTTTTTCCACTGAATAAGAGTTATCTAAAGCATGTGATATTATCTTAACTTTTTTATAATAATTAGATTCCGCATCTAATCTACCCAAATCTTTTCTTAATTCCATTGCTATTGAATCAATAGTACAGTCTGACATATCATGCTTTCTTTTGATATTATAGAAAGTCTGTGTAGAGATAGTTGGCTTTTTCCCAATCTGTAGGGTTGGCTTTTTCCAATCTGCAGACTTAAAGGAGTTCCTCCAGTCGACAATGTAACAGTGTTGTCTAACTCAATATTTTTAAATTGTTGAATTTCTTTCAGAGATTTGCTAAGTACTTGCTCAACTATTTTTAAACCTGAAAATTTGTAAATATGTTTTAAGATTACGTAAAAATTAAGGTTTGAAAAAACTATAATTAAGCTCTTACCTGTTGACATTAGCAGTGTTTTTAGGTTCTGTACTTAGGTTCTTTAAATCTTGGAAGTAATTTTATTCTCTCTGATGTGAGCAACCACCTCTCTAAAGTAACTAGTGATAAAGTTTCTCTTTTTTTTGCTGAGTACAAATAAATCTTGCAGCTTGGACATAACTCATTAGGAAAGAAGTATCAGATTATAGTTAGTGTTAGCATAAAGCTGAATCAAGATTAGTAAAGGATTTCCAATAACCAGTTCACTGAATTTTAAGTTCTTATCACCACAGCAAACGCAAATAAGTTTTCTTGAAGAGAAATGATCCCTTGGTTTGTTTGGCATGTTAACTATATTAATTATGCTAGTTTTAATGCAAATAAATAATAAACATTTTAGATTTTTAACTAAAGCATATACATACATACATAATAAATTTAGAAACACTTTGACTAGTTTTACTTTAAATGGTTATATCTTTTGAACGCCAAGATATTTTTTATTGAATTTTTTTGAATATGTATCTGATGCTTGATTTTTCTAAAGATGGTATATATTTATATTTTTTAATAAATCAAGGGGGGCAAGGGGAGGGGGAAAATGATCTATATTAAAGATTAGTTATATTTGTGAACATATATAACATCTTTTTAAAAACATTAGTTTGGTTTAAACCATCATTTTTTTAATTGATTTAAATTATGGTTTAAATCAACCAATGATTTAAACTATTAGGTTAAAACCATGCAACTCTGCCCATGGCCATTAAACATCAGTGATTTTTAACTTTTTTTCAAAATTCCAATAACTTCAAGCTGGAGTACCTTTTTTAAACCATAAAAACATTATGGGCAAAATATAAAAGCTTCAGGTATTCCCGAATCTAACTTATTTGGACTTCTGTTTATCAAATATTATCATTAAAAAGTAAAAACTTTAAGAGGTCACACAATAAATATTTGAAACGTTAACGCACAAAAACTTTTATGAATGTATTGTTTATAAGGATAAGTTGTATAAATAATTTTAACTTAAATTTTTAAGGTTGTTTTTAGGGTGTTGGAAAAATAATTATCATAACTTACACAATAAGCGGTTTTCAATAACCATTAGCGATTAACTGAAAAACGGATTTAAACATAAACAACAATGTTATGTTGTTACAGCACTTTTTATCAGAATTTATTCTAATATACACAAGCAAAATAAAACTGTTTTTACGGGTGGTGACTAGATGGCGGGGCAGGTGTTAACAATCTCCCCTCCCCTTCCCACTCACCCAAAAAAACAAGATTTTATTATGCCCCTTTTGATTTTATAGACATTTATTCAGCAAGTGAACTACTACTAAATATATTATACTTTTACTGCTGAACCAAACTAATATTAATAATAAACAAACATATTACCAAATAGATTAATTTAAAGAAATGATAACAAATTACAACGTATATTCTTTATTTGTTCTAAAATATTTTTGTTTCTTTTGACTTTGGCATTTAGCTAGAATAAGAGCATTTTCTTGAGGTTAATAAATTTTACGCGAGCATCAGAAGTCATTTTCACTGCTCTTTCAACCGTTTGCGAGTGGCACGGAAAGTTGGTAGCCTCTTTCTGATTCGGAATCATATTTAAAAGCTCTTTATTTGATATATCTTCCACACAAGGGGGCTCAAAACAGTCTATATCATACAAGTTTATTAATTTTGACCAGTTTTTACATTTACAATCAATAACTGGAATGGCATTAACCCTAATACCATCTTTTAATCTATTTTTAGGATCCTAAATTAGGGTTTTTCTTGTTTCCAAAATCTTAGCAACAGCAATTGATCTATAAACGTGTTCTTCAGTATAAAGTAAGGCAGCAATAAAATTCTCAGGTTGGAGACAAAAAGAGTTTCTATAAATTATGGGCAATGTAATATTTTGAACTTCAGTATCCAACCTCAAAATCCGCTGAATAAATTGGAAAATTAGTTTAGAACCCTCTGTGAAACTCTTAGACTTTATGATATTAAACCACATAGGAGTGTATACTGTTTGAATATATTCAACAAAGATTTTGAGCTCCCTACTGGGATTGATTGTTCTTGAGTAAAATACCAAGATCCGTACTGCTGTTGTCAGCCACCTTGCATGACAAATAGGGCCTAAAAATAAATCTTTTATATATAAAAATTAATTAATTGTATAATTTAATATTGAATATTATATATTATTAAATAAATATTTACGTAAACTTCAAACAAACAAAATAAAAGGAAAAATATAAGGAACAAATGATTTACAAAAGAACACACCTATTTTTTTTCTCAGATACTTATTGTCTGAAAACCCTCAGGAAATTCCAATACTCCAGTAGCATTCTCTGGTCAGCAGAGAGGTCTTTAATGTTACACAGAAGAGGATATTCAACGTCTGACTCAACTTGTATGAAGTCAACAGTTAAATTTAAATGAATTGGATTTGTCAAAGATTTTCCAACTGGTCCTTTTAAATATTATTATTATTATTATTTGATCAAGTATATTAATACTAATAGTTACAACTTTTTACTAAAAATAATAATTTATAATTATGCTTATCAGAATAAAGTAAAGCAGCAATAAAACTCTTATATAAAAAATAGAATTTCTATAAATTTTAATGTTGCTAAATAATATTCGGGTTATCTAAATAATAATATTATCACTGAAAATGTAAAATAATATTATTATTTAGATTACCCAAATAATTATTTGAGCTATTAGAAGAACCATTAAATTTAGAAATTAAATGACGCAATGGTAACTTGTTAACATGTAGAATGCAGCCAATTAAATGAATTCTTCTTTTCAATATTCTTTCAAGACAAGCAACTAAACCATTATCTTTTCCTAAAATGATATAGTAATATGAAAATATATAACTCAAATAAAGATTTATATATTATCTTTTTTTTATTTTTTAGACAGGTATTTTTGAAGAAAAATTATACCTGTATTAACACTTGTATTGTCCAAAATTATTGCCTGGATACTTTTATCACTTTTAAATTCCTTGAGAACATCACATGAAAATTCAGCAAGATCTTTTCCTTTACCTTTTTCTTTAGGTACATCTATGTGCTTTAGATATTGACCTTGCAACTCGTCTAGTCAAATTAAAACATTTTTATTAGTAAAAAATAAAAAAAAATACCAAGACAAAAAAGATAACATTGACCTTTACCTGATTCAATTGTGAATGTCAAGTTGTCTACAGTGCTGGTAGGTTTACAAAGTTTTATTTCACCATCAATATCTCTATATTCATAAAACAATGAGTTTTTATTACGTTTGCTATCCAAATCAATTGCCTTTATATTTGAAACTTTAGATTGCTCAAAACTAGCATTAAAACGTAATCGTTCTTTCTCTCTCTTCATTTTAATTGGATCAATTACATCATTTAAATGTAGATAACCAATATCTTGAAGCAGAGCATTAGCTACGGCGGCAGCTGCTTTATCTGATATTCTATATCTAATAACCTCTAAAGCAAATTTGCGATAGTGGGTAGTGTTATAGTACTTTGATCTAGTCTGATTTAATGATGAAATTGAAGTTTCACTCTGTAATTATAGAAAAAAATACAACAAAACTTCCAGAAATTAAAATAATAACAATGAAATTTTTACATTTTATTGTATTAACATTTAAGATTTAATTCTTTTAAATATAATGCTCTAATTAACTTTAGAGCATTATATTTAAAAGAATTAAGAAATTTAAGAATATATATAGTTTTTATCAAACAATTAAAGTTTACAGGTCACAGTTTATTACCTGATCTGAATCCATGATTGTGTCAAACTCTTTAATAATAATTTCTTCATCAGAAGCTTTTATTTACTTTGTTTTTCTTGAGGTAGGTGATAAAACAGAGTTATCAATACTATTTGAAACTTTCCTTTAGTACCAACTTTTTCCCTTTGGTCTTTTATATAGGAGCGCTCTTCTAAAGGAACCTAAATAATAATTTGTGGTTTTAAATATTCTTTTCAAATAATTAACAAGTTTCGTAATTTATAATAGTAATATTTACAAGTTTCCTCAGTCAAAATATATAAACTAGATTATAATTAGAATTAAAATAGTGCAGAAAGGACTTCAAGAAGATCGTATTGATCTTATCACGAAGCCCTTACAAGTGAATAATATATATTATGTTCAATATAGGTATTATATTATATATTAAGTACAACTAGTTGTATTAAAACTACTCGAATATTAAAGTTAACTTTAATATTCTTCAATTAGAATAAACTCAAGATAAAATAAAAATTAACAAAAACAAGATGCAAGATAATAACTAAAAATTATTAGTAGAAAAATTCAAGTGAATTTTTCTTTTGAAAAAATAGCTCTTTTATTGTGTTGTGTTTAATAAAGGCGTGGGTAAGCTCAATAATACACATAAACAATCAGTTCACTTAGCAATTTACTAGAAAAACTCAGAAAATTCGTTTAAATTCATAGTCTGAATTTTTAAATTTGTTTTCAATGAGTTTCGGTTATCTTAATCAAAAATAGATTTATTTTTGGTTGTTAGTTTGTTGTATAAATAAGGACCCCGATATGAAATAGATAATTGGGAGAGTTTTGTTTTTTTGAATGGTATGATAAAGTTACCTGTTTCTCTTGTATTAATCGAAATTAATCAATTAATCGATTAAAATTTTAGACGATTAATCGAACAAAAAAAAAATTAATCAGTACCAACTCTAATATATATATATATATATATATATATATATATATATATATATATATATATATATATATATATATATATATATAATATATATATATATATATATATATATATATATATATATATATATATATATATATATATATATATATATATATATATATGTACATATGTGTTGCTATAAAACGTGAAACATTTATTCCTACTGAGCACAGCCGCATATCTAGTGATCACTTTTTACCTTCAGATTACAATATACCTGATTTTAATAACAAACCTTAATTAAAACCTTTTGCTGTGCCATCTAATTTTATTGTTTCCAAACCAAAAGTCAAACGAAAGTTTAATTCTATATCGCCACAAATAAATAAAAAGAGACTCATTAAAAAAGTTTCAGAAACAGGCAGTCACTATCACATCAATTTCCAATCGGATATAAGTGATAATAATAATGTTGCTGCTAATAGAAACAAAATTTATATTATTAGTGTTATTTAAGAAACAACAGAGAGTATTGATTGCCAGGTAGATATAAATAGAACCTTTAATATTATCAAAAGTAGTAACAAAATTATTAATGATGATACCATTATTTCTAAAAGTACATTGACAAATGCAAGTCCAACTAAAGCAAAATTAAAAGCAATTAAAATTCTTAAACAAAAGTTGTGACGAAAACAAAAAAAAAAAAAAAATTCATTAAAGGTTATGCCCAAAAATCTAAGCAAAAAAAAAAAATTGTTTCTAAAGATGCTGCTAATTTTTTTTGAGAAAACTTTAGTGGATTGGCTTTGATATTATAAAAAATCAGTTTTAAAACTATACTTCACTTCCAAAAGGGCATAGGTATACTGATGAAATAAAAAAATTTTCAATAGCTCTGCATTTTTACTCACCTAAAGCATATAATTTTCTACGACCTATACTTCATTTACCTGCCTCAAGCTCTTTAGCCAACTGGACTTCTTCTGCAGATTGTGAACCTGGTTTTTTTGAAGATGTTTTAAGTTATATTAGTATAAAAGAAGAGACTGACATTAGTTATAAAGATTGTGCATTAATTATAGATGCAATGGCAATCAAAGCATCAGTTCTAAATGATAAAAAGACAGGTCGATTTATTGGCTTTACAGATTATGGAAAAGATATTGTTGCAATTGAACCAGATACACCATCTACAGAAGCATTGGTGGCAATGCTGGCAGGATTACAAGGTCATTGGAAAACACCTATTGGCTATATACTGTGTAAGTAAAATACCAGCTGAAAACCTGTCATGTCTTATTAAAAAAGCGTTAACAATTTCTTCTGATAAAAAAAGTAATATACGTAGAGATAAAAAAAGTAATGTACATTTGATGGTGTAAATGTTAAATTTAATTCTGTTGAATCACAAGGATGTACATTTGGGAAAAGATTAGAAAAAATTGATGGAAGATTTACTTTTGAAGGTTATAATCACTACTTATATGTAATCCCTTACCCAACTCATATGCTAAAATTATCTAGAAATGCGTTATGTTATTTATAGGTACTTAAGGATTGTGATGAAAAATATTTTAAATGGAGTTATATAAAAGCTTTATATGAAATACAAGAAGAGGAAGGATTGAAATTTGCAACTAAAATCTCAATAAAACATATTTATTTCTAGCGTCACAAAATGAATGTTAAGTTTGCTGCACAAACACTTAGTAGTTCAGTTGCAGATGCAATTGAATTTCTGATGTTTTCCAAACATCCAAATTTCAAGCATGCTGAAGGAACTATAAATTTTATAAGGGTCATCGACAAATTATTTGATGTGCTGAACTCTAAAAATCTTTTTTCAAAATCATATAAGAAAGCTCTTTTTTTTAATGATTATCCTTATTGGAATTCAAATTTTTGCCAATAACAAATTTTTACTTATAACAACTGTTAGAAATGCTTCCTTTAGGTCCGAACATAGACTACTGTTATTTTGCGCAGAGGGGTGGAATAAATCAGGCGGATGTACAGTGAATCGCTTTATACAAGCTAGGTGGACAAAGTCATATTAAGAAATCGACTTATTGAAAATGTTTTAGCAACAACAGTCCTACATTAGTAATAACTTGCGGTGTTGATTATGAAAAACATTCCAGAGCTATGAGTCATAAGCAATTATACAAAGTATACAAATTAGTCAAAAATTTACAATGGTTGCATTAATATTTAACAACAATTAAAGAAAGCAATCATTTTAATGCAGCGATGTATTTTACTATTGAGGGTAAGTACTATTTAATTAAATTAAATATTTTATTTAAAAGTTAAGCAATATGTGTTAAAATATGGTTTAAAAAATTGCGTTAAAATTGTAAAATATTTTTTGGTTTTTGATTTTTAAATTTATACAACTTTTTGTATCCACATGTATACAAGTTAATTTATTAACAGTTTATTGCTAAAGTCCTAAGGTGAACAACAAAGAAAAAATTTTCACCACATAAATCCACAATTTTTTGTTATTAAATTTTATTTAGATCATGTACGCTCTTTTTCAAAAATTGAGTTATTTGAAGAATTGCGAAGACATAATCAAGAAGAAAAAAATTCTCATTTATTGGAATTTATTTTGCAAAGATTTGGTGTTACTGATGTAACTGAATGTGACTAGAGATTCTGAGAGGTCTTTGCAGTTAAAAATTTCATGTATGACTTCGCGACAAAATGATCTGCAGCACATATGATGATGGACCGTTTTTTAAACAAAAATAAAATTTGGTTAGAGGGGGGAAATGTAGAATTTAAAGTAAGTATATACCAGCAATGTACTTTTTCATCATCTGGATAAATTCAAGGACGACCAAAAAGAACTTTGAAGACCTTTAAAACTAAAAAACGAAGGGTTGAAAATTTAGTAAAATCGCAAAGTGCAACTGAGTTGACCATAGCTGCTTAAGTAAGATGCCGTATGTTGGGGAACAGAAACCAAGCTACTTTAATCAGAAAAAGTCTGGAATCATCAGAAAAATTATATCAAAAGACTCTATTGGTGGTGGCAGGCAGTTAAATCGTGACGAGGCATTAGCTTATTACATTGACTCTAAATGTACAAGTCGTTGTTATAAACAGACGAGAAAGTAGTCTTTAAAGGCAGGGCATATATTATTTCCATCTTATTATAGTCTATGCAAGTCAAAAAAGTTATTTTATCCATTAAGTAAACATATTTATGTTACAGAAACACGTGCCGAAAATAGCCTACAAGCTATGCTTGATTAAACTACTGAACGCCTAAATGAAGCCCAATGCGAAGTTCTTAAAAGTATTACTTTTACTACGACATTCATATTAAATAGCAAATGGGGATGTGATGGGAGCTCCGATCACTGCACATACAAACAGAGATTTAAAAACTCTGTTGTTATTGATGAGTTTTTGTTTGTATTTTCATTTGTTCCGTTGAGACTGAGTGATGGTCAAAATATTATTTGGCAAATTCCACGACTTTCATCCACGCTTTATTGCCGACCAATTAAATTTATTTTTTCAAAAGAAACAAATCTTTTAGCTACAACAGAAACTAACCAGGTTTTAAAAGAAACTTCTCAACTAGTTCCAACATCTATAAGACTCAACGAATCTCAAATTACTGTCAAACACGACCTAATACTATCAATAATAGATGGAAAAGTTACAATGCCTTGACTGACACAAATTCCCAACAAAAATGTTACATATGTGGTGCGACTTCTAAAATGATGAACGGTGAACTAAAAGATTTAGTTGTTAAAAAAGAACATTATAGTTTTGGTCTGTCTACTTTGCATGCGTAGATTCGTTTTTTTTAATGCATGCTACACATTAGCTATCGTTTAGACATAAAAAAGTGGCAAGTTAGAAGAGATGAAGATAAATCTAGTGACCGAAAACGTTCAGAAGTTATCAAACAAAAATTTAAAAACATATGGGTCTTATAGTAGATAGACCAAAACCTGGCTTTGAGAATACAAATGACGGGAACACAGCTTGCAGGTTTTTTATGAAGCCAGAGTTGAGTGGCAAGGCTACGGGTGTAGACATCAACCTCATTAAAAATTTCAGTATTTTATTAAGAACACTTTCTTCTGGCTAAGATATTAGCTATTATGAATTTGAAAAGCTTTGTTCTGAGACCAAAACTCTTTATATTAATCTGTATCCGTGGTACTGTATGCCTGTTACTGTGCACAAAATACTTGTACATAGCACGGAAGTTATAAAAACATGCCTTCTTCAAATAGGACAACTATCGGAAGAGTCTCAAGAAGCCCGCAATAAAGATTTTTTGTTGATTCCGCAAACACCATACAACTCACACAGAGAATTTTCAAGTAAGAAAACTGGTAAACTACTGTTGGAAGTTTTGAATTTAAAAGTCCCACCTATAATACCACCACAGCACAGTGGGAAATCACATGGCCAAAAATCAAAAAAGTGACATAGTTCAATCATTATGTCTGTTAGTGGGTTTTGTTACTAATACCGTCACTAAGAATTTTCTAATTTATGAAATTCTAGATGTGAAAGGTTCAATGGTAGTGGCTTCTTGAAGTTAAGTTTTTATGAGTTTTCAATAAAAATTCTCAAGATGAGGATTTTAGTAATTTTTTATTTTTTCAATATATAGATCATTGAAAACATGAGAATGTATACATCATTGGAAAGGTTATGGTATAGTCTGTTAAAAATAAAAAACAAATTTTTTTTTGAAAAAGTTAGTAGAACAATTTTTAGCATTGTAAAAAATTTATCACAAAAGTACCATATTTTAACTTTGATGAAGAATTAAAAAATTGTTAGTAGACACTATAGACTAAAAATTATCAAAATATTTCCATATTTTGATAATTTTTAGTCTATAGTGTCTACTAACAATTCTGAGAAGTGTAGCTGCAATCATCCGCGATCTTAATCACTTAATAATTTTGAATAAATTATTAAGCGAAATTGATGTTTTTTCAAACAAATAAAAGACTTCTTCAAAAAAATTTTTTTTTCATTCATTACAAAAAGTAAAAAAAAAAATAAAACAAGTTTTAGGCACTAAAGACCAAAGTAAATTTGTTTTCGTGATGTTATTGGAAAGAAAAAAGTTATTTTTTATTTTTATTTCATGAGTTTATGGTTTTAAAATACATAATTAATTTAAGAAAAAATAATTCTTAAGTGCGTTTTTAATGTCCCACTAATCGATCAAAAACCACATGAATTTCAAAATATTAATAAGAAGTTTATTTTCATTTTGTAAGTTTATTGAACTAGGAAAATAGAGGAAATCAATTTAATACAAATTGTACAATGTTTTCGAAAAATACTTTTGAAAATGTAAATAGTCGTTATTATTAGGATTCAAGTCAGAGAAGACAAAATAAATTTATTAAGAAAGTTATTAAAACTAACTCTTACAAAGTATGTTACACTATGGCATGAATCGCATCAACAACAAAAAAAAGCTTTTGGTATTAGAAATTAGGTTTGGCCTAATTAAGTTTTTAAAACAATTGATTTAATTGAATTGCCAGTTAATCAAGAGGGTTTAATAAATGATTCAGCAAAAAGATGTTGACCAACAAAAGAGCTTGATGAATCGAGTTCTCAAACCGAAAGACAATTAATAGGAAATATATCATCAACGTTTTAACAATTTTAATCACTTTCAAGATTCGGATCTAATAGTCACAGTATCATCTTTGACTAAATGTACAACCAATTTCGAACAATATTTTATGGAATAACATAATGTCTCAGAGTATTAGATTATGTAGACCAATTATGAGTATATAAAAAAAAAATAAAGAAGTAATATTAAAAATTAAAAAGGAAGTTGAAAAAGAAATTCTTAATTTAAAGCGAAATTGTTAGAGTTTACTTTTCAGAACAAAAGTATGTTTTGATCAACTATATTTTTTTCCTTTCAATGATTGATTGAAAAATCTTAGTGTACATCACAGTATACTTCTTCGACACAATGTTGTCCGATTTGTCACGCCACACCTTACATGATGAGTGATACAAAAGTCTTTAAGGAAGGATTTGTTAAAAATGGGCAGACATTGTGCTACAGCATTTAACCACTACATGCATGGATTAGGTTTTTTGAACTTATTTCACATATTTTATATAGAGTTGAAATAAAAACATGGAAAGTGAAAAAAAATTTTAAAAGATAGATATTTATTGAGAAAAAATATTCATGATAAGATGTTTGAAGAACTTGTTTTAAGAGTTGATGAACCAAGAGCTGGTGGATCAGAAACTAGTAATACCGGAAATTTATCCCGATGAGCGTTTTCTGACTTTCTATTACTCAGCAAAATTGTACAATATTGATGAAGAAATTATTATCAGATTATATAACATTTTAATTGAAATCATTTGCAAAGACCCAATTCATCCGGAAAGATTTGATAAATACTACAATGATACATATAAGAAGTTGTTTGAGACATATGATTGGTACAAAATCCAAGCTTCTGTTCAACTTATGCTGAGGAAACTATTATTAATTACATTTAAATGTTAACAACGTTGACAAAAATCTAGAATTAGATATAGATATAGTAGAATAAAATTCTAAACTGTATAACCTGTATGATGTTTAAATTTATATTTGTCTGTCTATTATACAAATTTATAGATATATAAAAATATTTTTAAAAATTTCAGTGATTCGATTTAAATCCTTCGAGTTTGGAAACAAGTGAATCACTAAAGTTTATTCATTATTTTTTATATATTATTAGTTTTATTATTATTTATTATTAGTTTTAATTAAAGAATATTAAAACAACAGACTTTAATTCTCATTTAACAATCTGTTAAAGTTCGAATGATGTTCGAATGATGATGGTTGTAGAAATGATATGGCTGTAGTAATGATATGGCTGTAGTAGGGGAAAGCTATGATATGAATGATATGGCTGTAGTAACTATAATAAAGTTTTCACCATCCCCTAAATGAGGGCGTTGTAAACTTTATATGAAAGTTAAAACCTGTCAATGAATTTAAGTTTAGTGTAATATAGCGAAAAATTTTTTTGGGACATATATATATTTTTTTTGGTGGGGAGGGAGGGAGGGGGCTTACTTTTTGGGATGTTTTGGATCCCGGGCTTCAATTACCGCAATTTTTTTTGCAAAACATTATAAATTGAATTGAACATAGCATGAACGTAGCAAGTTTGTAAGATTAGAAAATTATCTATTATTTAATTAATGTCTGAAAGTATCACATATAAAAATCCTTCTGGTGCCCCAGTGCTTAAGTGGATTTCCCTACCCCCTTTGATGCGCCAATGAGCTGGTTAAACACAAAAATAAAAGATATATATATATATTTTTTATGTATTTAGGTGCTCCCAGAAATCCTTACGGTCTTATCAGAGAGCACCGCGGGAGAGCATTCAACAGGAGGTTCACGCCTCCTTCCGTACCAATGTCGCTTGTTGGGCTAGAACTGGCGTCGAACCTCAGACCTCTGGGTTCTGAGCCAGAACTCTAACCACTGCGCCACGGCTGCTCATTTTAAGACTGTTTTTTACTCAATTAAGTTTTAATATTTACATAAATACAACAAATATATTTTTGGCCACCTATTTCAATGGAACGTTGCCACTGTGCGGAGCTTGTTGAAAATTATGTGTGACGATGAAGATTATTTAGAGTCCGATTCATCGGGTAGTGAAAATAACAATGATTCATCTGATAATAATTAATTATTAATAAAATATTTTTTTATTCTACGTAGTGTAGTGAGTATATTTTTATATTTTGTATATTTGTAGTGAGTATATTTTTATTTTAGGCAAAATTTTACTTTACTATTTATGTGTTGAAATTTAGCATTTATTTTATTACTTAATTATCTTTTTTAAGACAAAAATTTTTAAAAATTTAAAATTAATTAAAATATCGCTTTTTTTACAATAAAATTAAAAAAATAATAATACTTTTTATAGTAAAATTGAATTTTTGACGCCCTTTAAGCTTAAACACGCGGGGTAATTGCCCCCTGCCTCCCCTAGGCTACCCTACTGCATAACTAATAAATAAAACACCAAAATCCACCTAGCTTGTATAAAGCAATACACTGTGGGATGGAATAATATACTAAAAATAGATTGTTCCATCCCACTGCGTAAAACATCAAATTAAAAATGTTTTTGCATCAATTTTTTGTTTTCTATGTTTATGTTTTTAAGATAATGGTCATATAAATGCCGTTTACAAATTTGTCACTCAGGATTTACAAGGGGAGGAAATAAATAAGAAATACTTTAAATACTTAAGAAAGACTTAGCTACAATCGCAAAGGTAAAGTTGCGATTGATGATTTTTAATAATTTCTTTCCTTACTTCAGTCGTGTGCAGTAAAATAATAGTGCGTATTTTATTTTTCTATCAACAAACTTTGAACATCAAAATATATTTTTCTATTGTTTGTTTTTATCGTTATTGTTAATAAACTAAATGTTGTGTTTTTATCGTTATTGTTAATAAACTAAATGTTGTGTTTTTATCGTTATTGTTAATAAACTAAATGTTGTGATTATAATAGTATAAGAAATATATTTAAGAAAAATAATTGCAGCACTGTATGATTTTAAATTTCAATATTAGCGATAGAAGGTCATTCGTATTTTTTTTTAAACTGTACAATAAAATAGTAGTGACAAATTAATTTTTGTGTAATAATTGCTGTATTTATTAAATTCTAATTATTATTAGTTCTTAATAATACGTAATAAGGAAGTAATTATTTTTAAAATCATGGTAAAACCTACAAACAAATACAAGAATTGGTTGGATGCTTACCAACAATGATTTGTAATGCTTTAAAATGGAAACCCAAACCAGAAAAACGTGGAAATAAAAGATCAACTACAGCTATAGAAGATCGTCGTATTGTATTGTAGCGATAAAGGAGTCATTTATTACTTCTAGAAAAATTAAAGAAAGGCTAGAATTAAATGTTAATACCTTAACTATTCGAAGACGATTAATACATGCCGATTTAAATGCAAGAACACCTAGAAAAGTGCCACTTTTGAGTAAAAGACATTGAAAATCGTTTAAAATTTGTACGTATGCATGCTTCTTGGCCTAAAGAAAAAATGGCGAAGTGTTTTGTGGAGTGATAAAAGCAAAGTTGAAATTTTTGGTTCCCGTGGTCGTAAACAGTATGTTAGAAGACCAACGGGTGCAGTATATAAGCCACAATTTATATTAAAGACCGTCAAACATGGAGGTTCAAAAATAATGATACACGGTTGTTTTTCTTACTATAATGTTGGACCTATACATCGCATAGAAGGTATCATGGATTAGTTTGTATATGTAATAATACTTGAAGAGATCATGCTGCCTTATGCTGAAGAAGAAATGCCGTTAAAATTTTTGTTTCAGCAGGATAATGATCCCAAACAAAATTTTTTTTTGTAATAAAACTTAATTATTTTTTGACCTTTTCATAAAAAATGATTTTCACTACTATTTTTTTGCACAGTCTAAAAAAAATATGAATGACCTTCAATCGGTAATATTGAAATTTAAAACCATACAGTGTTGCAATTATCTTTCTTAATTTTTTTTTTTATACTATTATAATCACAACATTTAGTTTATGAACAATAACGATAAAAAACAAACAATAGAAAAATATATTACAAGTATAATGTTCAAAGTTTGTTGATAGAAAAATAAAATACGCACTACTATTTTACTGCACACGACTGTAAATGCGCGATACAACGAAACGATGTAGCACCGAATATTTAATCCGTGCTTTTATCTGAGTTTTCGTTCTAAAATTGCAGTTTAATATAATACACTATAACAATAATACCCTATACAATAATAACAATAATACACTATTTAATAATAATACACTATAACATAAAACATAACTCTACATACATTACCAATTAATTCATATATGAATTCATATATTACATATCTCATATATGAGATACGCAATATATTTAAACTAAGGTCATTGTAAATATATTGCATTGTGAATATATTGCATTATTCTAAATATATTGCTCCGTTCTAAAGATATTGCATATCACAAATATACTAATATCAATACCAGTTAAAATTAGAAGTCGGCATGTCAAATACAATATCTGAATCACGTATATTTTAATATTCCTAACTAAGTTTAGAGTTATTCCAATTCTAAATACAAAATTTCTTACTTAAATACAACGTTGTTTGGTTAAAACCGTACAAAATAATAAAATGCAAAAAAATTTTGATAAACTCCGATATACAGTTAAATAAATAAAACATTAGAATGCTGGATATATTATTGATATTATAAAAAGTGAAAAATAAATTTTATAAATATAAGTAAACTTTCACATTTAATACACACTTAAAAATCAAAACTTTGACGTATAAAAATAAATTTATATATTATTTGTATTATTATATCATACACTTTTATAAATAATGTATTTAAAAAATATTAATTGATGAACAAACGATCGAATATTTACAATTCAGTAGATACTTGATAATTTGCAAACTCATTAGAGCGCTGTCGATCGACTGGTGATCGAGTTTTTGAAACCTGTGAAAGTAAAATAACAGTCTTTATTTTTGAAAATATTTACCTGAGACAATTTTTTCAACTTTCGTCAATATCTGAAGTCAAATATTTTGAAACAAAAAAATATTTTAATCCTTAAATATATTCTTTAAATATCATTGTTAATGAGATGCATCATCAATGATGAGATGCACCATTGATGATGAGATGTATCATTGATTATGAGATGCATCATTGATTATGAGGTGCATCATTGATTATGAGATGCATCATTAATTATAAGATGCATCATTAATAAGATAACAAAAGCACACAAAGCTTGCTCCATAACTCATCATATTTTGTTTAATAATTTAAAACTTATGTATAGACTGTTAAATATATAAAAAATTATTTATGTATACGCTGTTAAATATATAAAAAATTATTTATGTATACACTATTAAATATATAAAAAATTATTTATGTATACACTGTCAAAATATATAAAAAATTATTTATGTATACACTGTTAAATATAAAAAAAATTATTTATGTATACACTGTTAAATATGTAAAAAATTGTTTATGTATACACTGTTAAATATATAAAAAATTATTTATGTATACACTGTTAAATATATAAAAAAATTATGTATACACTGTTAAATATTATGTATACACTGTAAAATATATAAAAAATTATTTATGTATACACTGTTAAATATATAACAAATTATTTATGTATACACTATTAAATATATAGCAATTTAACTTAAATTAGATTAGTAAGAGAACTAAACTAGCAAAAAAAAACAAAAACTAAAACATTCCTATGATGCCAAAAAATAATTATTAAACTTTCTAATTTATTTCATAATGCAGAAAAGTTCTTTAAAAGTCATTTCTTGTTATAGGGTAACGCGGGGCAAAATGAGACAGCGGGGCAATATGAGACAGTTCGCGTTTATCATGATGCCAGGCCCTACAAATTATTATTTGTAAGATTTTTAAAAGTGAAGTTGTGTTCTAAAACTATTTTGTGTCAAAAAAAATATATTGAGTCACTTTGAAATAAAAAAGTTGAGTAGATGGGAATCATTTCATTTCTCTGCTTCGCGAAAATTACGAATTTTTAAGTGTTGTTATTATATTTTTTCCTAGCCTTTTTTGACCTCACTGAGAGAAAAAGCTTTTTATATTAAAAATTTTTTTTTTATTAGAATCTTTAGGCCTTTTTCTATCATTTCCATTCTTTGGTATTTTATTTCTTCAATAAAATAGTCTGGAAATTAAGCAATTCGATGCCAAATGATGCGGGGCAAAACGAGACATTCTGTTTGTATTTGTTTTGCCAATATCTAATATTATTTTTATTTAACGTTCTACATTAAAACAACAATCATAGCAAATATTAACATTTACATGCTGTAGATTTAAATTTATTATACTGTATTTACTTACTTTTTATTTTGTTAATTGAAATATTTAGTTGTTATCTAATATAGAATTATGTTTTATATTTTGTTAACTTATATTTAAATATAATAAATATTTAATCAAATTGAAGCAAATAATTGCTTCAATTATTTGTTTCAAAAAAAAAAAAGTAAGTAGTACATAAAATATATAGCGAGTAGATTATAGCATATAGGTTATTGAAGTAAACTATAAACAAAATACAATGAATGTTATGTGTACTTTAAATACTTAAGTTTAATATATACATGTGTGGTTTAATAATTCTTGTAGTTGGTGTATGTATATATATATATATATATATATATGTATATATATATATATATATATATATATATATATATATATATATATATATATATATATACATATATATATATATATATATATATATATATATATATATATATATATATATATATATATATATATATATATATATATATATATATATATATATATATATATATATATATATATATATATATATATATATATATATATATATATATATATATATATATATATATATATATATATATATATATATATATATATATATATATATATATATATATATATATATATATATATATATATATATATATATATATATATATATAGGTGACCAAACCACTTCAGTTTTGCAACTGATATTTTGTAAGCTTCAAGTAGGATGGTTGAAGATTTGAAAAATATCAAGTTATTTTTTCAAAAGTTGTTAGACAGGCCGCATTAGATAAATTAGTGCTTAAGTGTCTCATTTTGCCCCTCGTTACGCTACGATATGTTTATGAATATATAAGTTGATTTTAATAAAAATGACAGCGTATAATTATTTTTTAAATATATTTTGATATAACAATATATTAATGATAATTCGCTGGTTTCATTACCTGATGACACTGACAACTAAATGTCAGCGAAATATCGTTAATATATTATTATATCAAATTATATTTTAAAAATAGTTATATGCTGCAATTTTTATTGAAATCAATTTATATATATATATATATATATATATATATATATATATATATATATATATATATATATATATATATATATATATATATATATATATATATATATATATATATATATATATATATAATTAGATATTTAAACAATGTTATGTAAAGATGTCGTCAAAATACGTCTGCCACACTGTTTAAGTGGTAAAAAAAATCAAAATATTTTTGTAACTTAATATTTCCATTTAGAAAAATGGAAATATCAACTTTTTAACAAGTAAACATTAAAGCGGTAAGATTATACTTATATATTAGATGATGCAGTAATAACAGTTACATATTTATTTTCCAGGACATATGGCTTCACTATTTAAAATGATTGTGTAATGGCAACGTGTTTATTTGGAGATCCATTTTTTTTTTAAGATGCCATTGCACTGTGTTAACTCTGTTGCAAAAGAATCAACTTTTTCTAACTTTGGATGTGCTTCAAAACTAGGCTATTTTTATAGCCACTAATAAGTTAAAAACATTACTAAGCTAATGGGAATACAATCATTTAGTTTTAATTCACAAATTATATTTTAAAAGAAGTAACAATTTCTTTTTGACGGGATATGAGTCTTAATCGATTTAAATCAAGGCGGTATACAAAGGATACACTAATACTATGTCTACTATATATATGATACTATATATCTTTCTGAATACATTAAATGTTACTGCCTGTTGTGGTATGGCAAAATAATTAAAAAAGTTTTATTAAAGTTCTTTTATTATTGGCTCCAACTGGAAAAAATCGTGTGACTTGCATAATAATAATAGCATGTTGCAGGGGCGGATCCAGAATTTTTTGGTGCTTGAGTTAAATAACTTTCAGGTAAGTTCTAAACTCCAAATTTTTTTATGCTCATACTTATGTCATTTAAAAATGCTTTGCTGAAAAGTACGTTGATTAGAGCCTGGTAACAAAAATACCTTTAATGGTAAGCATCACTTGCCCAAATGAGAGAGGAAATGATTTTTCGAAAAAAAAAGTTACTTCCTTTAATAAAACTCAAATGTGCATTTATATTTAAAGTTTGATCAAAAAATCATCTAGTGTTCAAAAGTTATAGCTATTTAAAGTTTAGAACCCCCTCAAAATGAGGGGGTTGTAAATTTAAACTGGGCATAATTTTTAAACAACATATTTTCGAAAAAATTCAGAACATTAACGATATTACCACCTAATTCAGGATATTAGAACTTATGTTTAGAAAAACCAATTCACCTCACATTTGGGCAAGTGATGCCTACTTTTTAGGGTTTTTTTGTTTCCTGGCTCTAATCAGCACAATTTTCGGCAAATCATCCTTAAATAACTAAAGCATACTTGAAAGTTATATAACTCAAATAATAAAAAATCCTGGATCCGTCCCTGGGTTGATTGAAAACAAACCTTGTATTCCCCAAAAACTGTTGCAATTACTCTAGTCACATGGTTCTCAGACTTGATCCATAATTGATCCATAATAAATCAAGTCAGAAAACCACATGAATAGAGTAATAGCAACAGCTTTTGGGGAATACAAGGTTTGATAAATAAAAAATGTAATAGTCTAGATAATGACTTATATAAGTCTTATATATGATTTATGCCAATTACCTACCTCCTTATGCAATGATAATGACTTATATAAGTCATTATCATTGCGAAAAGTATGTATAAATATGGAGACTATTAAATTTTTTAACTGTCTTTATATTTAAGTACACTTTTTATAGTTTATCGAAATTTATACTTATTTATTTTTATAATTTAACAATAGAGGTTATTATTACAAAAGCACTGTTAGCCGGACGCAAACTTTTTTTGTTGGTTGCATTTTTCTTAAGCTGGAAACATCTTTAAAATTATTGAATCCTTCCTTTCCAATCGTAGTATAAAAGTTGTCCTTGATGGACAGCACTCTTCTTCTTATTCTGTAACCTCAGGGGTTCCCCAAGGTTCAATCCTTGGCCCTATACTTTTTTTAATTTACATTAACAATCTTCCAGATATTCTCACATCTAAGGTGGCATTGTTCGCTGATGATACTACCATTAATTCTTGTCACGATAAGAAGCCAACTCCCTCTGATTGCTTGCAGGGGGCATCTGAGCTCGAAAAGGATCTCACTTCTGCTACAGCATGGGGCTCACAGTGGCTGGTGAACTTTAATTCACATAAAACTCAATTTTTTCGGCCAATCGTTATCGCAATAAATTAGACCTTCCTATATTTATGAACGGTAATGTACTCGATGAGTCTCTTACCCTTCATCTTCTAGGATTAACTCTTACTTCTGATCTTTCTTGGAAACCTTATATCAAATCCGTTGCAAAATTAGCATCTGCTAAAGTTGCTTCTCTTTATCGAGCTTGTCACTTTCTTACTCTGGATTCTATTCTCTATCTCTATAAATCTCAAATCCGGCCTTGTATGGAATACTGTTGCCATATCTGGGGCGGATCTTCTAATGATGCCCTTTCTCTTTTAGACAAGGTGCAAAAACGCATTGTAAACAAAGTTGGACCTGGTCTTGCAGCCAACCTTCAACATCT